AGGTCTTGACCAGTCCTGTGATGTGGTTTGGTACGCTGAAATAGTTTAAGGCCATCCACAAGATCTAATGCAGAACTGACCCAAAGGCGTTGGCAAAGTCTAAAAAGACCACGTGATGGTCTCTTTGTTCTTTCTTGGCAGTTTGAATCTGGTGCCAAATGACACTGGCATGCTCCAGACATCCAGAGAAGCCCCGGATGCCGGTCTTCTGCACTGATGTGTCAATGTAGTTGTTTCTTTGCAGGAAAGCAGATAGTCTTTGGGCCAAGACACTGAAGAAGATTTTTCCCTCTACGTTCAGCAGGCTGATCTGGCGAAACTGGCTGATGGATGAGGAGTTCTTCTCCTTAGGGATCAGAATACCTCCTGTTCTTCTCCAAGCCTTTGGAATCACTCCTTTCTGCCACGCTACCTTTATCAGCGTCCACAGGTATTTGAGGACTCGCGGGGTGTTTTTGTAGAGGCTATATGAGATGCCATTAGGTCCTGGGGCCGATGCTGCTCTTGCCTGCTTCACTACCTTCTCCACTTCACTCCATGTTGGTGGTCCTATGTCCATTTGGTGTTCAGGTGCCTGGATAGGCGGCATATCAGTCGGAATGGTAACTGGTTCATGCCTCTATCAATTTCCTGCTGTCTCCTGGAATTTAACTGGTTGAAATGGCCTTTCTGCTCTGAGTCTTGTTCTTTACCCCACATCGCTCAGCCCCATAGCTGTAGATGATGGTTCCCAGGTTCGCCAGCTTCCTTTCAACTGGACCCTTTTGTTGATCTAGTATAAGAGCCAGACCCACTCTCTTTTCTCACTGGATCTGGGCCACAGAATCTGATCTTTCCTACCTTCCCTCTTCCTTTCCCTTGCTGGTAGAGGTTGGCTAGACTCAGTGTTGGAAGATTCTGTCGGCTGTTTCTGAATGAGCTCTGGGCTGGTTGATGGTGTTGATTGCGGCTAAACTCCAAGCTAGGGGCTGATATTAAGCTAGAGCTAGAATCTAATATTGGGTGTGGCTGGCTAAACTGGTAACTGCTACTAGCTGGATTTGACTGAGTTCCAATCTGGAGACTATGGGGGAGTCTGTACAACAATGAACTTCGAACAGGGTGCTGATACCCTGAGGACTGTGGGGATTCTCCTGCCTCTGGGATTCACTCGACTGATTTGACTTACTTCTTAAAAAGTGTGTGTCAATGCAAGGCCCCTTTCTCAGCTCACTGAGGCACTTCTTCCTGCCTTGGTGGATTTTAAGGCCCATGTCAGTTGTTAGTTTTGGCCAGCCACAAATGCAGTTCTGCAGCTTCTTTCCTATCATCATTGATGGTCCATTATTTGCAATGCTGGTTGATCTATTCATCGGTGGTACCGTTCCGTGGTTCGTTGCCATTAAATCCGTCCGGAAAGGGTCTTCTTCCACCACTGCTCTCGTAGACCCTTCTCTTTTGAGACTTCTGTAGCAATAATGGGTGTACCCAGGTACGCTAAAAAGCGCTGGGTCCTGCTGGTATGAGGCACTAACCCACACCAGCCCCATTAGGGTCTATTCCCTCCTGTCAGCAGTCTTTCCAGGCTGTCATCTGGTCTTTCCCCGATTGTCAGCTGCCCATTCGCAGCGGTCACTGGATCACTCCAGAGTTCTGATTCAGTAAAAGGACTAGATGTTATAGTCCCTGCTTTAAATGGCGAGAATCTTGAGGGATGGCTGTTATGAGGAGAGGCAGCCCAGAGACTTTGCCAGCAGCACACATCGTTGTGTGCCTCAACTTTCGGTCTTTTACCCAAGCTAATCTGCAATTCTTTGGGGTGGGATTAGAGATCTGATCTAGATTATCATATTGAGATTTGGGACACATCATCAGTAGTGGACTTTGGATTCATCGGGTGTTTTGGCTATTATCCCTAGACGCCCTGATCCAAGGAGGCCCTGCCAGGGTTGATCAGGCCCCGGAGTGTGTCACTGGTTTAGATTAAATTGTTATTTATCTTCTTCTTTCTTCTGTTTAGTTTCCTACAGTTTATTTTCTATCTTTTCACTGCAACAGGAATAATACTTACCGCTTTTACATTTATGGAGCCTAACTTCTTCAAAGGGATAGAAAAGGTGATAGAGAGAAGTAAGACAAAAGGGACAAGATAGGAGAGAGCAGAGAGGAGAGCTGGAAGGGGGGCGCCCGATCTGGCTTCCCACACCTCCCCGCCGGATCAGGCTGTACGCTCTACGTCCCCACTGCCTCCCAGAAAAGGGAAGAAGAGCAGAGGGGAGAAGAGCGGAGTATTTCTTTTCTCTCGTGGTTAGCTGACTGCCTTAGCTGCCCAAGTGATTTCAGCCCTTTTTAATCATAGCCAGTGACTGGTCCTCTCAGCAGTGTTAGCTAGTTCTCTTATAGCCTGCCTTTGCGCCTGTCCTCTGATCCCAATCTCTCTAAGCAGTTTTACTGTGGTACTGGCAACAAAGCCCCTGCACCCCACTTCTACGGGGCGCACCTTGATCTTCCAGCCTCTATCCTCTGCCTCAGCTGCCAAGTTGGCATACCGCAGCTTCTTACGCTCAAATGCTTCCTCAGTTGCTTCCTCCCATGGTACCGTCAGCTCAATGACGTACGCAAGTTTTAGGAGTTAGACCAAAGGACAAGGTCTGGTAGTTGTTACAATCTCTGTGGGAAAAATTAGCCTCTGATCCAAGTCCACTTGCATCTGCCAATCCCTGGTGGCCTTCAGCGGGCCCAGGTCTGGGGTTGAGGGGCTTGTCCTCGGCTTGTCTCCTTCCCGGACAAATATTAATGAAAGCTGACGCTCCTCTTGGTTAGTGAAAGGTTGAGGGTTGATGGATTCTCTTTTGCACTCAACTTTCTCAGCTAGACACCTGAGGACCTGGTTGTGCCTCCATGTGTATCTGCCCTGAGTAAGGCTAGTCCTACAACCAACCAAGATGTGCTTGAGTGTGGCTGGGAGGACTTAGTTAGAGTTTAATCCTTTTTAAATTAAGGCTGTAACGTGACAAAAAGTACTAACTAATAGTTTGTTTAGCTTTGTCCTTTGTTTCTGTTTCCACCCAGTCCTTGTCCTCACACACCAACATGTTCAGCAGATGTCTATGACCCCTCAACTAGCCTGGCTCTGCCAGAAGTCTTTTCTTGTTAAAAGGCCACCAGCGGCAGTGCTGCTCATCAGGGATTGCTTAATCATTACTGTTGCTGGTCTTTTTCTTATTATATAAAGTCCCTTAAAATGGTCTAAATTAAACTGTATGGTAAGAAACTTACAAATGTGCTGGGCTCTCCAGTATCCAGCCAGTTCAACAGATGCATTTTAACTATCTTCTAAATCACAGAAATCCAACTATACAGATGATGACGAAATAATTGGCCCTCATTATGAAAAAAAAAAATTCCCCAAGAGCTGTAAAACATAGAAAGTTCGTCCAGGTTTGATGGTCCTTGGTCTTCAGTTCACCCCACAGTTTTTCCATGGGGTCAAGTCAAGGTGTTGTGAAGGCCAATCACTGATGTTTCCTTTGGTCTTCTGGATGCAGTTCTTCACCAGAAGCTGCATCAGCTTTGGACTGTTGGAGGTCAAAGCAACGATCCAGACTCAAGTTTTCTTTAAAATCTCCACATATCCTTTCTTCAGGACTCCTTCCACCTTAACAAGAATCTCAGTTCCAGATGTACTGAAGCATAATACTCATACTATAATGTTTCACTTTGCTGCACTGTGTCCTGTTGAACTGTGTTTGATCTGTGTAAAGTCAACAAGGTAATAAAGATGCAGTCCTGTATGAGTGTGTGTGCGTATGTGTGTGTATCTGTCGGTGCACAAGCACCTACCAATGACCCTGGCCTGGAGTCTGACCTTTAGACTGCTGTCTTTTCTCCCTCTGGTTACCATGGTGATCTCCTCCTGTTGCACCCCCTCCTGGTGAGTTCTGTACTCACATGTTACCTTTACACCTCCTAAAGAGAACGAGGGAGTGAGGAAGGAGACAAGTTATTCATACGCCGTTTGCACCACGCTGAGTCCAATGAACTTTAGAAACATCATCAATGCAGTTAAAGGAATACTTTAGCCCCAGATGTACCAACCCTGTGCTGCAGCATATCTATGTCTAATGTATCAAAGACTGCATTTACCTCATGCAGCAAAGAACAGAACATTCAGCACTCCTAACTCTAACAAGCACAGACTCAGTAACTGTGATGCCATCTTAACCCTGAGTGACATTTTTCAAAGACGATGTTCTAATGTAATAAATAAGTTGTAGACAGTCTTCTTCAAACGTTTTGCTATAAAAGGAAACTTTGAGATTGGTATTCGGCTCGACGGCCGTCTGGGTTTTTTTGCCTGAAGTATTCTGGGACACAGCCAGAGGACAGACAGTTGGTACGTGCAGAAACAAACAGTGACATCCAAAGCTTGAAGAACGTTTTCGTTGCACCACACATCTTTAAAGCTCGTCCTCAGAGACTCAGTCTGTTCACTGAAAGCCATCAGTGCTTTCATTTCTTGTTATTGTACCTGAACACTCTTCTCCTTACCCTCCCTCTTGTCTTTTATGATTGAAAATGTCTTTATTCATCCAGGGTAGCCATTTTGGACACTGCGGCATGTCTGTTACACACTTTGCTGTGTCAGTGGGTTGAACGTCCACACTCCAGTGAATTCATGTGTTGGTATCTTCCCCTCTAATTACGACCCAGTTCTTGCTTATCCAGAACATCGTTTAGGTTTTATCCGATACCAGTACCAAACCGGTACTTTTGAAACAGTGCCGGTGCTTAAACGATGCTCAAACCGTTGCTTAAAGAATGGAGAACACAAAATTGGTCCAGAAACCTCTCATGTTCAGCTGTTTTTTTGTAAAA